TTGAAGTCCCTTGATCTATGAAAATTTTCATTGATAACTAGTCCACATCTCATGATTTCATGAATAAATGAAGGATGTGTGAACAACATTGTTCAGTTGTCCCTAGACTGACAAAGAAAAATTTCTTTAATATAAAATAATCTTTCAAACTCTTGAGTCATTATTTATTTCATTTAAATCATTCTTTTTATTCAAAGTTTGTCATCAAAAAGAAATCTTGATATGTATGTCTCCAGAACCATGAAATATCAATTACTTAAGTCAAGGAAATAAAAGTCCAGAAGGAAAAATAAATAAATAAATGAAAATAAAACCAGAAAATATAAGGTTGCCATAATTTTTATTTCTTACCTGTGTATTTGGTTAATAACAAAGAAGCTGAAAAATGACAAATAATGAAAATTAGGTACATAACAGTGTCTTCACTTATCCTGTAACTCTTAGAAATATTAGGAAACTCAGTTTTCATGAAGGTAGGATAGTAGTTTTTCTGAAAGAAAATTAGAAAAATCATATATTTCCCACTACCATGCTCTACATTAGCACCAGAATCATTGTTGTAGAGTGCAAATTGATAAGATCACCACTGCTGTCATACTACTGCATCTTCATGTAAATACTTAGGGGTAGAAAAACGAAAGGTTCAAAATAAAGTTGTGATGATTTGTGAAAAGGATGCCATTCTTTGGAAACTTCACACTACAGTAAGGTATTCTTTCAATTCTGTTCATGGGAGAAATAAAGAACCTTGGAATTCCTTCAGTGAAAGTTAACATTGTATTTGCTGTGGATGAAATCAAAGTTGCTCTACTGGGTATAGTGAACTAATCAGTGAATTACTCCAGACACGTCCTCATGTTCTAATTAGAACTGCACTTTGTCCCATTATTGTACAATGTACATGCCACATGACAAACTTCTCCTGAGCAGTTTTTGTTGTTCTTACATATTATAGAGTCAGTTCCAACTCATAGTGACCCTATGTACAACAGAACAAAATACTGCTCAGTACTGTGCCATCCTCACAATAATTGCTGCTTGATCCCATTGTGTTGCACGCACTGCATCAATCCATCTCATTGAGTGTCTATCTCTATTTTGCTAACACTCCACTTTACCAAACATGATTTCTTTGTCCAAGGACAGGTCCCTCCTGATAAGGTGCCGAAAGTATGATAGACAAGTTTTCCTTCCCATCTTCTCTTCTAAAAAGCATTCTTTCTGTACTTCTTCCAAGACAGATTTCCTAATTCTTTTTAAAATGTTTATAATTATGCTAATTTTTCTTTCTTAGGGTCTTCTCCAGTTTCATCTCTTACCACCTACTCTTTGAATTATTGAGAGCTCTGGTAGCATAGTGCCTAAGGCACTTGACTGCTAACCAGAAGACTGGCAGTTCAAACCCACCAGTCACTCCTCAGAAGAAAGATAGAGCAATTTACTTCCATAGTGATACTGCCTCGGAAACCCAAGGAGAGGTCTCTATGAGTTGGGTAGGACTCAAGGGCACATAACAACAACAACATTTGAATTATTGCCAAGTCAATTTTTAACAGAAATCCGGCTACCAGGAAGATGCCAATGTTTGATGCCTCTAAGATAAGTTCAGATTCACTAATGTGGCTTTTAAAACTCTCAGTAAACAAATCCACTTACATCCTGATTGTCCACTCTCAACAATAGCTTTCATCAATAGCTCTACAGGTTTTTCACACTCATCCTTTAGTTTCCTCATTTCCTACGCCCATTGTCACACTCATTACTATAAACGTTGATTCTACTCATGCTTTAATTCCTGTTTTTCCTCAACTCAATTTTTGCCATCCTTTAAACATCTGTTATTTCTGGTGTTACATACAAGCACAAGCTATCCCAGAGCAACCTAAAATTCTGTGTATATAATCTACATTGCTCCACCCTCCATATACATGTGTCCAATTTCCTTATCTTAATTATTTTGAGATTAACTGTGATTTAAGTATCAGTAAAAGGAGTTGAAAAAAGAGTAAGGGAAAAAAGAATCATTGACTCAAATTCTAACTCCATTCTGCATGTGTGCATGAACATGAGAAAATGACAGTATTCCAAGGTATGAGCTTTTTACCTTGGAAAATCATGAAAGATGATGCCTAACTCATAAGAAGGTAATAAATATGAAAGATGTACATTTCTGTATAGCACAGAGTGGGTTCTCATTAAACTATTTTTTCTTTCATATTTGCACATTTAAATGATCAATAAATATTTTGTTTAGCTTTTCAGGATTTTCACCATTTTCTTCCTCATTTACACAAACCAGCATGTCCAGATTTCTCTTGATGCTAATATACCAATAATTGATATTGGTATTATTGCAAGTTAGTGGTATTCCTAATAACAAACAAGACAAGTAATGCTATGGGGGAGGCTAAAATTAATTGTGTCATTATTGTATTGAGGACTTACACTGTCATATATCTATGGAGAACTATCAATTTATGTGAAAGCATTCAAATCCATAGTAATTTCAACATAAATAGCATTATTTTTGACTAAGCTTTGATAAATTCCTATTATGCAAACACTCCATTTCAGAGGGCGTGACAGGGAAAGTGACTAATAATAAAGATAAAAATGCTCTTGGCTTGAGAAAAATATTCTATATAAATCCATATTTAATCATAAACCCTTGAGCAAAGCAAAGTTGAGAATCAAATTCAAATTCAGTTTCTTCTGATAGGTGGTGTGGTTTAAGTAATATATTAGAACTTGAAATGCATGTATGTTTGTGAGGTTATGCTTAGGGATTCCATGAATTTGCCAACAATGCTAAATGGAGGCTGCCTTCTTTTATTGAGGGAGTTCTGGTAGCATAGTGGGTAAAACACTGGGCCACTAACCCAAAGGTCAGCTGTTGGAACCTTCCAGCTGCTCTATGAAGAAAGATAAGGGAGTCTGCTTCCGTAGAGATTTACAACTTTGGAAACCACATGGGACAATTCTATTCAGTCCTATAACGTGAGTCAAAATAAACGCGATGGAAGTGAGTTTATTTACTGAATTTTATTCTTACTATCTGTTGAATATGTTAAAAATTGTAGCTAATTACACTCTGATGCAATTTATGACCAAAAAGTAAACATTTAATTTGCTCCTATAATACATTAGAGTATAGATTTTCAAGTACACTTTAGCTGAATCCTTCCTTTCTGAATGTATGTAACTATATTTATTTTTTCACTTACAAGTCTTCACAGTTCAGTGATTTAATATTTAATATGCAAAGTATATTAAATAACATACAAAGTATTATTTCTCAGTATCTATGACTTTGAAAGAAAGTTTCTCTAATTAAAATCAGTTTGTCACATAGGATGATATTTGTTTCAGAATGTTATGAGATTTTCTCTTCTTCATAATTCTTTTCATAACATTTATTACTTCCTTATTTCTTAGAGTATAGATGAAAGGGTTTAATAAAGGAATTACTAGAGTATAAAAAAATAGCAACTGGTATATCTTTATTCCTATCTTTAAGTGAATGTGGCCGGATATACATGGTGAGAAGAGAGCCATAGAACATTGAGATAGAGAGAAAGTGAGATGCACAAGTAGACAAGGCTTTGCCTCTTCCCTCTTTGGATTTCATTTTGAAAATTGTGAAAAGGATGAAACATAAGAGATTAGGGCTATACTAATAGTGAAAATCTGAACAGACCCTGAAAAGATAAATACCATCAGTTCATTGATATAAGGGTCAACACAGGAAAGTCTGTATAATTGAAGAATATCACAATAAAAGTGATTGATTTGATGAGATCCACAGAAGGTTAACCTTAATAGAAGTACTACATGAATCATGGAATGCAGATTTCCAGCTATGTAGGCCCCTATGATCATTTGAATGCAGAGTTGCTTTGACATCATGGTTTGGTACTGCAGTGGGCTGCATATTGCCACATAGCAATCATAGTCCTTTGCCGCCAGAAGAAAGCAGTCTGCAGTTTCAGCAGGGCAGAGAAAATAAAATTGTGCCATGCATCCATAGAGGGAAATCATTTTGTCCTCAGAAAAGAAGTTCTCTAACATCTTGGGGGTAATGGCACAGGAACAGCAGGAATCCATCAGAGCCAGGTTGCCCAGAAAGATGTACATGGGTGTGTGAAGACGGCGCTCCATGAAAATCAATGCCACCAAACCAAGATTCCCCACCATCATGATCAGATAGAAAGCAAAGAACACCACAAACAGAAGGGTCTTCAGATCTGGGTGATCCATAAATCCTGTGAGGATGAACTCAGTTGTCAAGGAATGATTGTCCTCAGTCATCTTTACTTTGTCTGTTGAGATAGGAATTAGAAAAAGATAAGATTCTAATTTAGAATATGTCTAATATTTCCTTCAAATTTCTCTTGGACCACATAGTAGAGCCACTGCTTCAAATTTACCCTGCTGACTGCTATCTGTGAAATACAGGTACACATACTTACAAGGAATATTAGTTTCCCTAAAGTGTCATCTTATAAATCCTCAAGAATTATGGCTCAAGATTCACAAGAATATATTGATCATTCCATGGAAATACTTGCAGGAAAAGGCTGTGTATATGAATTTATATAAAGATAGTGAACAAATACAGAGTCCCATAGATTTAGTGTTCTCAAATGTTTCAGTTTTTATATTGACAATCCTCAAAATGTATTAAAATTGTATTTTTCTGTATATATATATATATATATATATATATATATATATATATATCTCCACTGAGTTAATATTTTTTGTACATTTTTCCAGTGGAGTGGATATTGAAAAATAATGTAAGTGTGTTAAAAATAAAGAAATTTACCTTGAAAAGCTAGGGAAATAAAAATGCATTTATTTCCTAATAAGTGTATATCATCTTCATATTTCTGTTAGCCAATTCTGCTATTAATAATAAGTTTTCTGAGACTATTAATAGATAAAATATTATGATTTTCCTCCTTTATCTGAATATTTTCTATACCTAGCCTTATGGATCTCCCGTTTTCTAATATTAGGAGATTGGGTGATCATTGTCTAATAATTATGAACATATTATAAGATTTGATAAACCTCCTTTATGCATCCTACCCTATTTGTTCCAAGGGGAACACTATGATTTATCAGAGAAAAGGTCCCCATTGTTTACTTATTTAAGGTCACATCTCCTGATTATTTCAAGATCTATTTATCCTTTTTGGCTTTCAGTGGTCATCACTTCTTGATATTGCCAGAAGCAATACTCTGCTGAAGGAAGACTTAAATATTTATTGTGTTTAGGATAAATTTAAATTCTTTAGGATGGCGTTTAAGGTATATCCTGATCCACTGCCATTCTTATTTCCCACTTTCTCCATGACCTCTTCTGGCTTTCTCACTGTTTCCATCCATTGTTCATCTCCCTCCTCCCCCACCTCCAGCACCAAATTAATTTATTTCCATAAAAACTGACTCTGCTCCTGCTATTATTTCTTGCAAATCATTAAGCCAATTATAAACATTGTGCACTAAAGATATATATAT